ACAAAGGCAACTATTGCGGCGCGTGCCACTGCGCGGCGAGGTACCGTTGGCTTCCAAAGGGAGAAGTTGAGATGTACTTCGCCGGACAATCTGAGCCTCAGGCGTATTTAACTTCGTATAAGGACATAAGTATCCGTTAGTAGCGCTACATTATAGGACGTGGGGGAATGAATGAACGTGGTGATGTGTGATCGTGTTATGTTATACAGCCCGAGGATAGTACATAGTAGAAAAGCTCGCGAACCCGAATTGTGACACTTATAACGGGGTGGCGCCGTGCGATAAGAGGATAAGTATGGATATTAACTTAACGGGTCCCAAGCGTAGCAGCGACTACGGCGATCCGCTCCGGTAGTACGCTCTCATCTCCATCCTGCGCGCGTTCCACCTCAATGACCGGCCGCGCGCTAGCCCTGCGACGCCGCATAGAGAAGCCGGAGTAGCACCCACGCGGCACGCCCAGCTCGTCATCCATATCTTCCGCAGACGACTGCCACACCTGTGCGCTCGGCTGCGGCTGCATCTTGAACTTCGAAGATGCTGGAGACGAAGAAGGCGACTTCTGGGTGAACCCAATCCCTCGCCCGATGCGCCGTACACCCGCTCCAAGCCCTACTGGCTCACCCTCACGCGGCTCTGGACCTCTACCAGCCGATCTCGTTTTCACCGTAGTTTGGACAGGGCTGTTCCTCACTGGCGATGGCATCGACGCTGGCGTCTCTGGAGTGGCGTGGCCTGTAACCGCGCGGGACGGCGTTCGGCTCCAGCGCGAGCGAAGCGAATACTGGCTGCGGCGAAGAAGAGCCTCGCCTCCGCGCAGGATGCGCCCGACACTGCGCGCCGGAGATGGTGCGGAGAGTGGCTTCTGTTGACCGGCCTGGTCAAGGGAGAGAGCGCTCCAGCGGAAGGACTGGTTCTTGCGCAAAGCGAATGCGCCTTCGTCGATGACTGGCGTCGGCGGACCAGCGGGGAGCTCTGGCACCATCGACGCGCCAGACGCGCGGAATGGATCCGCCTCGATCTCAAGCCCATCGCGCCCCGGCTCGCCGTTGATCATAAGAAGAGGAGGGGTTGGGAGACCAGCACCGTTGGAAGGGTACCAATCGAGTTCGGGTACGGTGATCTCAATGGCCGCCAGATCCTCTTGCGTTAGCATAGCACCATCGCGACCGCTCTTCTTGGTAGGAGTGACCGCAACAGCTTCGCGTCGGCGACGCCGCAGCTTCTCGCGTACACGCATGCGGAGAGAGCTCGTGTCAGTCTGTCCTAGAGCGTCGATATCTTCGTCCTCGCTATCGACCTCGTCTTTGCCGTGATCGTGCTGTAGCCCATCGTGCCCGTTCAGAGCGTCCATTGACGTGGCGGCTGTCCACATTCCGAACTCGTCAACATCATCATATCTCCCTTCAACGTCAACCAGGGTGAGCCCGAGTCCGGCGGGGACAGGTTTGGGTATGATCGACGCGCGCACGGTCAGCATACTCGCGTCGGGTCCGGCAGGGCTATCAGCGAGCGGCAATGGCAACGTGCGATCCGGAGCGGGATTAGACGGGCGAAGACGGACAGCAGGCGAAGATGTTAGGAGCGGCGATCCGATAAAGAATGACAGCGCTGGCGAGCCGAGTCCAGCTTCGCTCGGCGTCGGCGATGGTATGTCCTTGAGCTCTGCCGCTTGCGGCAGAGGCGTCGTAGCAGGAGTCTGTATGGAGCTGCGCGTGCTGGAACTCGTCGGAGGCGAGATGGATAAGCTGGGCGTAAGTGGAGGGCTTTGCGGACTCTGGCCCCGAAGAGAACTGTGGATGGGCGAGGCTGGGACCGCTATAGAGATTGGACGAGCGGCAGGGAGTCGCGTGCGAGTTGCACGGCCTAGTACTGCGCGGTGCGCCGAAGAGAACGTGCTGTGCGACGTCGCATGCGAGAGCGTGCGCGCGTGGCGGTGCTTGTTGTCGTTGTGCTTTGGGGATGGAGGGAGGGCAATTCGTGACGGCCGGATAGAAGCTTGCGAGCGTTTCCCGTTGAGTGAAGGGGTGAGAACCATCGGTCTCTCAGGCGAGTCGGCGGCAGGGTAGACAGCGGGCGGGAGGGCCACGTCGAGATCTGAAGACAATTAGTGCTCCGGCAATGACCTAGCCGCTAAGATTCCACTAACCGTCTCCAAGCTCGTGAAGGACAACACCCCATTCACTAGTAAAATAATCGTCAGTGTCGTCCATTGGGAGAAAGCGAACAAAAGAACGCGTACATGTCAGCGAAAATGGGATGCTCGCAAACCGCCAAAAATCCTAAGCGCTTTGCGGGGTTGCGTTCAAGGCACTACGGGAAGTGAGCACGCAGTCCCAGTCTAGGAAGAACTACCCAGCGTACCTCCTCAATTAACCCGCGAAGAGACGGGTCGAGCACATTCAGCGCAACGCAGGATGATGTCCCCGCCAGGATACGCTTCTTCATGATGTCGCCACGGAACTTCTCAGCCGCGGACAACGAGAACGGATGCTGTACGAGGATTCAGTCGTGTGTAGGAGAGACTATGCACAAGATGACGAACCTGTCCGAGAGCCATCCAGGCGAGCACGATGCCGTAGGCCCACCAGTCGGCCTCCGGACCTGTCTCCCAGCCCAGAAGGGCTTCCGGAGCATGGTGCCACTCCCCACCCGTCTCGCGATCGACGGGGCGCGCCGACGCTCGCATGAAATGCATCGCATTCTCAAACCCGCCGAGGATAAGATGACCATTGGCGCGCAGTTGAATGACAGATGGTCGCACGGCACCATGAATCACACCAAGGTCTTGAAGAGCAACTAGGCCGCAGGCCTGAAGATATACCTCAGCGAAATCCGACTCATGGTCAACGAGAAGGACGTACAAGCTCTGCACCCCATGTTCGAAGAAGCTGGCGTGACACTGGACCCTGACCTTGGATGTACTGCAAGAGGTTTCCGCCATGATGATGCGGCGTAACGAGATAGGCCGCCCTATCATCCTCCCACGCGTGGATCAGGCGCTCAAGGTAAGGACTCTCGTCTTCGGCGTCTACGTCAGAGATCGCCCTCAAAGTATCGCGTTCAGCTTGAGCCTTCTCCCCAACAGGGTGCTTGTATGCGCGAACAATGACGAGGCCAGCGGACTTCTGGGCGTATGCGAGGTATACGGTGCGCGCGGCGGACTGCGAGTGCTGCAGCGTACGAAGGATAGAGAAACTGTCGGACATTGGCAACGGTAAAGGCGGTGCAGGAGTAGGGGTTGTCGACAGGTCGTTGAAGCTACGTTCCAGAGGGCGTTTCGGAGTGGGCGTCGCGTCCTTATTCTTCTGCTTATTCCGCACGACCATAACCTCCTAACATAAGAGGTCAATTATGATGAAGATCCATACCAGGGTGAAACACTCACGACTACATCCTCATCGTCCCACTCCGAGTCAACATCGCGTATGTTACTGACGGCCTGCATGGTGAGGATGAGCGACAATCGTGCTATCATCAGGCGCGAACGACGATCATACCTCAACGACGTAGCTCGCTTCATGGCGGATTGACTTGTGTGCCTGCGTGCGCTGAAAGACATCCGGACCCGCTTCGACCGTCATAGCTGGCACGAAAGTATCATCTTTGTAAGGCGAGAAGCGTAAGAGTGCAGAGAACGAGTCCTGCTCCAGAGTTAGCGGCACGACGAGATGCTGTTCATATGTTTGCCCGTACCGAGAAGGGAGTTGTGTCTACCGTTTCGTCCAAGTGGGGAGTAGGCGGGTAATTGCGAGGGAGTGCCATAGGTGTGCTCTGCGAGCGATCATGGCTGGGAGAGGGCTTCCCCTTCATCGGGCTACCACCCAGCGAGCGGGTCACCAAATGCTTCGTCCAGGACGTCTTCCTGGGGCTAGGGCGGGTAGAGAGCATCTCGAGCGTCCGATGTAGGGAGAGCGCAAATGGTGGTGGGACGCAAGGTTGCTGCCAGAGCTAATCTCAGACGTTCAGATTCATCAGTTGATACCCACAGTGTGGCAGCCCAGCCACACCAATCCGTCTACCTACGTCGCGAGCATCGAAACAAAGGAAAATAATCTTGGAGACGTATGTCAACTCTTGAATGCGTGCCTGTTGCGGCCGCACCCAACTTGCGGCGGAGGCGAACAGTACCTATTTCCCTTTACCTGCCACCTGTCCGAGCCCATGGGCGTCGGAGATTATCAGCTGTGGTGTTGGCATCGAGAATCCTTGCATTAGTACGCGACGGAGAGATCCAGTGAAGAATCTGAGGGAGCGGGTCAGTGTGCGTAATGTGCGCAAGAAGCCTGTCAATGTCAAAGAAGGCCACACCGCCGAGACAAAACACTGGAAAAGCATCGCCGTCAGTTCGGCGCCGATGGCATCTATTCAACAAACGTATCGATTCGGAAGGGAGCATGACCGCGATCTTGGAGCTCTGGACTTTGGATGTTGCTGTACACCTTATGTTGCGACCTCGGCATTGCACGGTGCATAACCAACTGCGGAGACTGGTATGTCTATAAATAATATTCCCGCGATCGCATCGATCGCCTTTTGACCTGTCTTCCGCCAACGACGACAGCCAATACGCCATCTCTCGGTTCGAAGTTCGGATTCCATATCCCGCCAGCGCCAGCAAGTTCAGGTCAAAGTTTGCGATGTATTCTGGATATTTATGTCGCTATGCACTGCTTGTTTACTTCCCGAGAACATGTAGAGAGCAAGTCATGATCGGCCATAGTGAGTGTCCCTGAAGTGCTCGGGAAGATGATCATGGCAGTCAGAACCAACATCGAACGCTAAACGCGGCGGGACCATTCGACCGTCGTCCGGCCCTAAGCCGGGCCTTGCGAACCGGAAGCTGATCCACAGAGAGTAAACTCAGTCGGGCTGTTGCAGGACGTCGATGGACTGGCCGTCCGAGAGAGAAAATCGTTATTACAAAAATCGCTCCGAGAAGGCTGCCGACAGTTAAGCTTCGGGTGACTTTAATCATTACTTTGCATCTCTTGATCATCGGCTCAATGGTCTAGTCGTATGATTCCTGCTTCGGGCTAATCCCCGCCGTCTTCGCGGTTCAAATGCAGGAGGTCCCGGGTTCAATTCCCGGTTGAGCCCGTCACGTCTGTGCCTATCGTCCTTTTCTACCTCATCTGCACTACATTCAAACTTTTTATTCGTCGCATGAGAAGAGAGTCAGTGGAACACAAAAGCCAAGACTGCGATGTAACAGTAACTGGTCGATGCGTTTCAGCCTTAGGGAGAGTGGTCATGGTAAACGTAATGTTGAACAGTACTTAGGCTCAGGACGCAACCTCAAGGCAGTAATACATGCTGTATCTCCATACACATCCTCTTCAGTCCCCTGTCTCGCGCCAACGTCTCCACCAGCTCACGCGTAATTACGACCGTCTCCTGCCCGCCCACAGTCGTCCGTGTTCGCAACAGTCCGCACTCGCTCATAGCAAATGCAGCGTCTTCAATACGGAGATTGGTCGCGCGCGCGATGTTCTCAAGCGAACAGCGGACGGATGCGTGCGTCGTTGCGCTACCGTCTGGGTTGGCGCGCGTTTCGAGCGTTCGTGTCAAAGCGTGCGCTGCGTGTAAAGGCGGTGGAGGCGGCGCGGAGATCGCGTGTGCCTCGCCATCCCAGCCTTTCGTCTTCCGACGCTTGCGTGCGGTTGACGAGGATGCTTCGGCTTCGGGTGCGGGGGACTGGGTGAGGGAGAAGTCTTGAACACCGCTAGTTGATGTGATTCGCTGGGTATCGGCAGGAAGAACGGACAAGATGTGCCTACGTGGTCTTAGTCAGAGTGTCCTATGTAAACGCCTTGAAAACTAACCTAAAGTATCGGAGAATAGTAGAAGTCCAGTAGGTGAGATAGCTTCGCAGACCGAGTTCGGACAAAGGCCGTTCTGGCGTCCCTACCCGACCTGCTCGCCGCGAGAGCTCATAACCTGTAGACACGCAATGAACATTGCGTATAGATAGGGACGGATTGAATCTACTCACTGAACTCGATCATGAGCATTCCATAGCCCTTGCGTTGGTATGGCGGGAATGCTATGATACATGCCAAGTTGTAGCCATCGTAGGACATCTTCTCCTTCGAGAAGAAGCCAAGAACATGGTCGCGTTGCGAGTCGGCGTCCGTCAAGAGATAGAACAAGACTTGACGCCGTCAGCATGGAACAACAAGAGAAAGCACGTCGTGCTCACAGTTATCGCAGTCGAAGAAGAGGGTCTTGACATCAATGAATAGCTTTCCGAAGAGCGAAAGGTTCTGGCAGTATAGCTATGTCAAGTTAGCAGTAGATCATCGTACGTATTGCAGTAACGTACCTTCTCTTTCGCGCCGTCAACCTCCCAGATTGTATGAGCGCCGCGCTGATACACCTTCTCTCCCGGCGGGTGCTTCCTCGTGCATCTCCTCTGCGCAAAGTTAGATTCCCCGAACGGTGTGTCAACGAAGGATACACACGCACCGTATGAGCCTCATAGCTCGTGCCGTCGGCCATGTACTTGAAGCAGCGGTCACATACCCACAGCAAGGCCTCCCCAGCAGCATGCGCGCGACCAAGTCCGCCCGCAAGTAGGTCACTGGTACGTCCATGAGAGCGCACCGTCGCGCGCGTCACACCAGGAATGCGTGCGTCGGCAGCAGGTGGAGTTGCGTCCGGCTCTGTTTCTGACAGCGGGTAGGGAGAGAAGTACCTGTGGCGCGCGCTTAAAGTCAGGACTGCGCCGTTTGACAGGAGCAGAAAGAAGACGTACCAAGTCTTTATCTGCCATTGTCCAAAGTTGACCTTGTCGAAGTTACGTTTGGCGGTTATCTGCTTATGGTGCTGGATATCGTACTCCTCCTCGGTCATCTTCATTTCAGAATCCGCGCGCGGCTCTGGTCCAGGGGGCAGCGTGCTGGAGGATGCGACAGGTGTCGCTGTGGCGGACGGTATGCTGGCAGCTATTACTGGCTTTATATCCGGTAAAGTGGGTGCTTCTAGAGGTAGAGAGGCCATGGGCGGCGGCCCGTCGACGACGACAATGTCAGAGTCCGCTGAGGGCGCGCGCGCAGGGTCGACGGGCGGGTGCAGGCGAGCACTCTTCCTGCCTTTGGGTGCATTATGTGTAAAATGTACAGCAGCGGGTAGCGTATTCAAAGCAGATGGGCCTGCAGTGGGGAGAGTGGCGCCGAGCACTTCTGGTTCGCCATCGGGCGCGGTCCTGGATGCAACGCGCGCGCTCGACCGCTTTCTCTTTCCAGGGCGCGCTTCTGCTGGAGCAGGGACGTTCGCTGGTGCCGGCGCCATGGAGGCGGGCTTGAAGTAGGTAGTGATCAGAGAAGACAGCGTGATCGAATCCAAGTGTACGAGTTTGGAAGACAAAGGTCAACGTTCAACTGCACTAAGCGCCGCCGATGATGATCTGCGCTACAACTTGTTGATGGGACTTGTGGGTCCACAAATCTTAGATATACACGCATCATTATATGACTGCAATAATTTGCGCGTACACTTCCGAATGTACAACACTGCTGAGAATGACTACTCGGCGTTAGTCAGATGCCGGTACCGAGGCGGATACAGAGTCACGGCTGACCCGGAGGTCGTGGATGTGGGTGCGATCGGGCATGGAATGGGGCATGCGGGCATAGCATAGGGTACAATGAGGGAGAGAGAACGGACAACCATGGAGAAGGACAATGCGAAAGCAAAAGACGGCGAATGACTGCAGAATTTACTCCTTTGCCTCCTCGTGCTCGACCGCCCAGATGCCCTGCCTCTTCTCCGCAACACGGGCCGCACGACGCTCGCGAGCCGCCTGGGGATATACAAATTAGTTGAATGCGACGCGAACATTCGCACCAGTCGACGTACCTTGTTCTTGACACGGCGGGCCTCCATCTGGTCGCTGAGGACCTTGGTGCGCGTCTTCTCGGCCTTGGCCTTGTGGATGTACTCCATCAACACACGCTTGTTCTTGAAGACGTTACCCTTCGACTTTGCGTAGAGCGAGTGGTAACTGTAATGATCGACGATAAGCAATAGATATTTGCACACGACAAAAAGCAACGCACAGGTGACGGTCGATCTTGCCAGCCTCCCTGTACTTCCTGAGCAGACGGCGGAGCACACGCTGGCGACGCATCCATTGGACCTTGGTAGGCATGCGGGCGTCGGCGGTACCCTTGCGCTTACCGACACCAGTGTGGCGGCCCTTACGCTTGGCGGCGAGGAGCTCGAGGGTGCGCTGACGCGAGTGGACAGTCGTCTGCTTGATGACGATGCGGTTGTCCTTGATGAGCTTCTTGATGTGTGCGCGGGAGTTGGCGTTGCCGATCTCGCTCTGCTCGTTCGGGTCCAGCCAGATTTTGCGCTTGCCGACGCCGGCGACCGAGGCTGCGAGCCTCTTTTGGGAGCGAAGGTTCACCATCTTCGGGCTGTACGCAATCGGTCAGACATTCCCCCTTCAATCGTTCGTACGGCGGAGGGACATACGTTCTTGAGGGCTTGAGGGGTCGTGGGCGACGGCGGCGGCGAGTATGCGCACGACGATGACCGGACGGCGTTTGCCGGCAGATTGACGCGCGCCATCGACCCTAGTCTAGGGTTACTATTCCATCTTACAAATCAGCTTTCGCGTTCGGCGCTTTCCGTGCTTCTCGTCAGGTATTCTTCCAGATCACATTCGACTCGCACAAGATGGGTCCTTTCACATCGACGGTGCACTGGGATGGCGTATACAGACACACTACTATATTCTCGTTCACTGGTCGTCTACGAAATATACTGTTTTTAAACCTCATTATTGATCATGTACTTCCCTGCAATCGATTTACGGCTCGAGCAGAGCCACTTCCGGCACCCCTGGCGGTACAACGTTGTCTGTGCTCGTGGCCTGATCAGTGTAGGACCTGTTCTCCGGATCGTTCGTGTTCCCCGTTTTTGCCCGCAATGGTCAGGAGACGTCGGTAGCGTACGGTACTAAAGCATAAGCAGCCTCACGGGTTGCTCTAGCCCATTCCCTGTGCACACGACTTATCTGCAGGGGCCGCAAAAGAATCAGCCTGCCCCTTTGATTCGCGTGAAACAGGTTAGGAAGAGCTTCGCGGAGCACAGCGCTGAGTACGTAGGTGGCCGTGGCTACAACGGCCGAGGAAGGAACGTTCGTAAGCTTGGACTTGGAGCAGGGTCGTATGTGTTACCGGTGACGAGGTTTGGGAAAGAGCGGCGAAAATTGCTCAAGTATTGATTAGCAAGCGAGTGAGGACGGAGCCGTGGGAAAGTGAGTGAGTAGGCGATAGTCTGCTTTGTGAGGGCGGGTTGGGTGATTGTTGTGACTTGCGCTCCGCTGCGACGGCGAGCGTGCGTTCGCGGCCGGACCACCCGACACTGATCTTGCCTCTGACGAGCACGATGACTATGAATCTATAAGCGCACATCTCTCATAGCGTACACCCGCGCTCGGATCTGCCTTTGCTTTTCACCTCCATCTGCCTACATTCCCCATCCCACGTCTTGCGTAATGGCTCTTGTCGATGCCCAAGACTCCGCCCAGGCCGCGCCAGAAGGCGACGGCCAGGACGGCAAAGAGCCCCCGAACAATAAACCCGTCTCCAAGGACTACGCAGACCACCCCGCACCCGGCACTCAGCGTGGCCACGTCCCCCTCCCTCCCCCAGACGCCTCTGCACATCCCAAGGAGCCCGGCCGTACCCGCGGCGATCTCTCTACACCAAAGCCTGTCGCGCCCTCGATGTCCACGGCCAGCTCGTACAACGCCTCGCTCCATTCCATCTCCCCGTCCGAAGACTCGCCCCCGGGCAGTGCTCCCTCAACAAGACCGCCCACCGCGCCACCGAGTCGTGTGGCAAGTCGCGCTCCCAGCATGTCTGGAGATCGTCCAGATACAAACGGGATTCGAACACAGGCCCCGAAGACGGTCACGGCGCCAAAGCCCCATCACAGCGCCGCTCTCCCCCACAAGATTCCAGCCGCTGTCCAGAAGGCCTTGGGCGCTTCGGCTCCTTCGACTCCCGAACCGGGCGCTAAGAAGCGCCCCCCGTCGGTCAAGTCGGAGAACGAGGACAAGGGCTTCTTCCGCAACGCCCTCCACT